CCGCACCCAAATCGTTTAAGCGGTTTCTGAGATTAGCGCGTACATACGCACAGAAAATAAGACAATTAGATAAAAATTCTAAAAATTATTGTTTTGGATTCTATTACGTTAATAAAGACCCCTAAAAATATTTTTTCTCAAATATCTTCCATCTACAGACAGCGATCAGTTACAATTATATTATACGTATGTATAATGTATATATATATATATATATATATATATATATATATATATATATATATATATATATAGATTACTAGCAGAACCCGCGGCTTTGCTCGTACTTAAACTACAAAAAAACTCGAAAAAGGTAGGTTTCATACAAACTTTCATGGGATGAATTTCGAAAAATGCTTAAACACGTATTTATTTAATTGTATTGAAGAACATTAATATCAAGTTTCAAGTAATTCTGATCACAAATACATTTTTGGGTTGTATTATAACGTGTTTTCCTGTGGGAATGATATAATATCCCGCGGTAAAAAGTAGCCTATATCAATCTCCAGCCCTGCTATTATCTCCACACAAAAAATCACGCCAATCTTTCACTCCGTTTCGACGTGAATGAAGGACAAACAAACAAACACACTTTCACGTTTATAATATTAGTATGGATTACTACGCAATTTGTGTAGCGCTAGTTGCTACGCGGACTAGCGCCGCAGGGTGAAAAGCTCTGGAACTAAATCATTGTTAAAGTTACTCCTAGTAGCAGACTTTCGATTGCGAAATTAGATGGCGTTGTTAATTTTATACCGTTTTGCTTTGTAAAAGCTCACACTTGATGACTTAATTATAAAACACTACATTTTATTTACTTTCCCCGGTATATACGCGTGTAATATATTTATAGCTTTATGGAAATTGCCTACATATATAAGAAGAAATTGAAAAAAATTGCACATATTCGAATAGCTACAACATAAAAATATTTCATTTAAAAAGTTATTATCAAGTTTTTTCTTTCTTAAATCTGTAGTATTGGGCGGCTTTGGAGAATAAAGAATGATAATGAATGATTAAAATCGGTTCATCAACAATGAAAATATTTCAGGGTCTAATTTATAGGTCATAGCAAGAGTAACGTAATTTCATACCAATTACGGAGCGGGAAGCTTTCAGAGTTAATTTGGAACGGCCTACTTACTGCGTCTCATTTAGCGGTATTGTTAGAGAAATAGACTACGATCTTTGAATACCGATTGACTTTGACATAAAGTTTTATTTGCTAAGTATATTTTGGCTTTGTAATATCTCATTTGTTTGATTAATTTATGGAAATAAAGTTATATATAGATATTCGTAAGAATGATACGTTGCCATTTTTCTATTCAAGGGACTCGAATATATTATTATAAGACTAACGACTTTTCCTCGCTCCTGTTCGCTTCGCTCGGGTTCGTCCCTGGTTACGCTTTAACGTTTAGTATAGATTTTTCAGGGATGACATATTTCCTTACAGTAAAAAGTATCCTATTTGTTGACCCGGCTAACCAGGTATCGTTACACTAAATTTCATTAAAATCTGTCCAGGGTTTTCTTGTGATGCGTTCCCAGATAGTCAGATAGACAAACAAACAAAAATTCTAAAAACTATAGGTTTGGCCTCTGTATCGATAATAATGACTAGGTAATCATAAATAATATTAAACAATAAGATTTTCCAAAAAAAAATTTTTGTACAGATTCGACTCACAATTTTATTATATGTATAGATTATGAAGTTCTGAGTTCGAGACCTAATCAAGACAATTGTTGAAATTTTCCAATATCAACTTCTCAGCATAAAGTTGGTAAATTGGTGAGGGAACAAAGATTGAGTGGGCCTCTATGATAAAAAGGGATAAATGTACATATATTTGTAACTCTCTTTCACGTAGCGATGTGTTTTGAAGGCAAAAATTCATATAGTTGACTTATCTACCATTTTACTTTGAGACGCTCGAACAAATAAAACAAATAAATTAACCAAAATAACGAAAAGTTAGAGGCTTAAGATACATCTACTCATAATTCGAAGTCACGTTTGGGTCATTTTGTAGTAACCCTACTTGCTGTGCTAGCGGTCGCGGGTTTGAGTCCCGCTGGTGGCATCCATTTGTGTGTTGAGCACGAATGTTTGTACTTCAGTCATGGGTGTTTATATTTATAATATGTATGTATTTAAAATTATATATGTGTAGTGTATCAAATATCTGGTATCCGTAACACAGACCTCGTAGCTTACCATGGAACTAGATGTTGCTGTGTGTTAATGTGTCCCAGAATATTTATTTATTTAATTACCTACTACTACAGCTAAAACTATATCGTAATTGTTCCTTATGAGGTTGAATTTATAATAAAATCCTTTATAAGTTTTGTCTGGAGCTTTAATTTACCAAACACGAAAAGTACTAATTATCATAAACATTGTTGAAAATCGAAAAAAATATAGGTTTATTGACTTTAATCAATCGGGACTTCTACGGTTATCAAATTGGTCAACTCGCATTTGACAGTTAAAGAAAACTAAGTGCTTATATTATTGCTCTTAGGATTGTCGAATTACAATTTAAATAAAATTATGGTATTGTCCTTCATCTTAGATTACATATAAATAATTTAAGTCCTTTATTTAATGTTTTTAACAATTCAAATAGAACGATAGACAGTTTTAACGACACTTCAATTAGAATTTTAATTTAATCGACCCAGTAACTACAAAGTAGTTAGTGTCTAATCAGTTTGTTCGGAACATCGACACAGTAATTAGTTTCATTGAGCTATCAAAATAACCTAACAGTACCGTTTTTTTATCTTATATATAAAAATCTCGTGTCACAGTGTTTGTGGTTGCATTCCTCCGAAACAGCTCGACCGATTTTAATGATTTTTTTGTATATTTTTGGTAGATAAGAGAAAGCCGTAAAGTATTTTTCAACTTCCTATAACTCTAACTATCCTTTCACGTCGAAACGGAGTGAGGTTGGCATGATTTTTTGTGTAGAGATAGTTGGAGGGCTGAAGAGTGTCATAGGCTACTTTTTACCGCGGGAGATTATCTAATTCCCACGGGAAAACACGATAAAATATAGCCAAAAAAAATATGATTAGAATTACTTGAAACTTGGTATTAATGCTCTTTAATAAAATTAAATAAATATGTGATTTAGTATTTTTCGAAATTCATCCTATAAGGGAGTAAAATAGGGGATGAAAGTTTGTATGAAACTACCTATTTAAAGATTTTTTTGTAGTTTTAGCGCGAGCGAAGCCGCGGGTACACCTAGTATTATATAAATACATAGTGTGTGTACCATAAAGCCAAAAAGTTTATTTTTTGTAGATTGAACGCGGGCGTAGTCGCGGTTCTGCTAGTTATTTAAAACGCCTCTATAACAATTTAGATTTAAGTAACTAGGAAATAGGTACTCGCCATACAGAAAATGGACTCGTGATTATCTTGTTATTGTTCATGGTCATGGTCGAGAAAGTACGTACAATATGTCTATAGGCTGTTTTTGCTTATTTTATATGGAATTTTGCATATTAGTAAGACTTTAATGTGTAATGAAATGAAATTAATATAAACTTTATTCAATTATAATTATTATAATCACATTGGAATTGTCGATTTAATTTAAAGCATGTGTGGACTATGGCCTGATCCTTCCTCTTATTGAAGAGGCCCTAGCCCTAGCAATGGGACGTTAGAAATAATAGCTGAATATCTACAATACATGCATATAGGCAATACTGTTTGTACGGTTTAAGAAATATCTTCATATAGAAATATATTCGAGTAATAAAACTGTTAACAACAAACTAGATATATGATCGTTAATTATTTTCTAAGAGTACGTTTCTTTACCGACCATACCATATAAACCAGTGTGATGGGTTAAATCACACACTATGCAAAGCATAGAAAGCAAAGCAAAGTGTTCTATTTACAAACACATTGTATTTAAAAATACCACAACTTCTAGACCTAACTATATGTACTAGTAGATGAACGTAAACTACTAATAGATTTTGAACTACCTTGTACTGCGCGGTACTGACGGCTAGAAAATTATAACGGTGTTTTTTCTAATCTAAGGGCCAATGTTTCAAGAGATACATATATATATATATGTATATATGTATCTAAATATAAAGTTGAAGATCTGTTTTTTCGTTCGCCTGTTTGTTTGTGTTTACGCTAATCTCTGCATGCAATTGTTCGAATAGAATTTTTTTTGAGTTTAGTAGATTATTATTTACTAGTGAGTACTATACTAAGTACGTGTTACCGGTTAGTATGGAATAGATAGACTATGTATTATATGATGTATAGCCTATATTCTTCCTCAATAAAGGGGCTATCTAATGCTAAAATATTTTTCAATTCGGATTAGTAGTTCCTGAGATTAGCGCGTTCCAACAAACAAACAAGCAAGCAGGCAAACAAACTCTGCCTCTTTATAATATTATATATGCTATGCTATGCTTTATATGCTATCCCGTACTTTATAATGATAATAGCGATTCACCCTCGTTTCGCTCGGTTTCGTCCCTGGCTTGCTTCCCAATACAAACTTTCACCCCCATTTTCACCCCCTTAAGGGATGATTTCCGGGATAAAAAGTATCCTATGTCCTTCCCAGGGTTTCAAACTATCCTCTTACCAAATTTCATTTAAATCGGTTCAGTGTATCCAGAGATCCCCCTACAACGTCACAAACTACCTCTTTAAACTCGTAATATTAGTATAGATAATAATAGCTTTTATAGAACAGTAATAAAGGAGTCAAAAGCTTATTTTATGTACATCAAATTTAATTTTGAAATCGGTATAAATTATGGTTTTGCCATAGATGATACAATGCTTATATTTTCTGAACCCGATAGTACGTAAACCAAAGGTACGTATAGCATTCCCGCCTCCCATTACACTCCAGGCTCTAACGCGGGACACCCGTGTCCAAAATATTATCTATACAGTATTTAATTCTAAATATTTTGAAATAATGAGTGAAGTCGACGAAAAAGGATTGCAGGTAAGTTTTCTTGTATACATCAATGGTGATACGCATTTGAACAAATTATTTGATGCGATTAAAAAAAAATAACAAACCTATTTTAAATCAATCTATGAACAACAAGTCAATATCATTTTTTGCATTATAATAAAATATTGTAAGCTTTTAGATATAATTTTTACGAGTTCTACTAATATATGACGACACGTTTGGCTCATTTTGTAGTGTACTACTTACTGTGCCAGCGGTCGCAGGTTTGAGTCCCGCTGGGATTTATTTGTGTGATGAGCACGAATGTTTGTACTCCAATCATAGGTGTTTATATTTATAATATGTATGAATTTAAAGTTATATATGTGTAAGTATATCAACTCTCTGTATCCATATCATATGCTTTATATTATAGCCTACCATGGAAGTAGATGGTGCTGTATGTTAATGTTCTAAAATATTTATTTTCGTTTAAATTTGCACTTGCCAATATGTACTTAATAATTAATTAGCAATCTATGTAAGATAGATAATAAGTAGAGTATGTGCTGTTGCCAATTTTTATACTGCGTTTATAGCTGTGAAATAATTCTTGTGGTAAAACTAATGTACAACAAAAATAATGTACTAAATTTTCTGAAGTATGTTTATTTTCATTGAGTCGTTGCTCTAAAATCTCTATTTTTAGATATTTAAAGTTCGGTTAAATTAACGATCGAAAAACGATATACTCGTCGAAATTAGAGATTATAGGTATAATTGTATATGTGTGTGTACGTGTATATATTTATTACTCTTTTACGCTGAAACGGATTTGGTTGAGTACAGAGACCTATGACTTGTTATACTTTTTAAACAATTTTTAAAATTTTTATTTGTCTTTCTGTCTGTTTCGGCTAATCTCCGAAATGGCTGGACTTGATTTTGATGGGACTTTCACTGACAGATTGCTGATGTTATAAGGAGTAACTTAGGCTACTTTTATTTTAGAAAAAGAATCAGGGTTCCGTGCAAAAAAATTAAAAACCATCAAATTGTGAAAAAAAATTCGCGGACGCACCCGAGCGAAGCGATGGGTTAATCCCTAGTAAATAATATACTTTATAAATTAATAAATAATATATTTTATAAATTTAATAATAAACTATATAAATTTTTTGACATATTTCTTGTTAATTTTATTTAAGCTGGCTGTTACTCGAATAAACGATACGATATGTATTTTTGTTGAGTTCTGAATTTCCGATGTTGATATTTGATTTCTCATAAATTAAGTACGAAGAAAATTCATCTCATGAAGGAAATTCGATATAAAAGCTGCCGCTTCATATTTAAAGACGTTAACATCCTTAAGCTCAATGTAAATATTAATTTACTGTAACTACAGCAATGAACTTTAAAGGTGCTTTGTTTTTATATTCAACGTACATTAAGGGCGTCAGGCCATTGTGAAGGTCCACTACGTCTTTCGAAAACTTGCTAGGTTCTCTCGGACAAGTGGCTAAACAACAAGACAAGTGGTTATTATGTTTAAAATAAATCGCATTTAAAAATATCAAAGGTGCAAAAATCGGGATTTGAACCCGCTTCACTTGGTTTACCTGAGCGAGAGTGTTATCGGTTAGGGCTGCCACTGCTTGATTTTCCAGATTTTTATTTTCCACTTTTATTTCCATAGTGAACCCCTTTACTCTAGTTCGGTTTGGGTCTTTTATAAAACTGTGTATTTATTATAAAAATAAATCACTTTTCCTTTTATGTAAAAGAACAACACTAGATATATAGTTAAAACTTTTGTCCTTTTTACTTTTTAAACAAATTCCTTTATTTAACAAAAAAGTTTTTATTTATAATATTACGAATTTATTGAATTTTCCTTCATATGTAAGATTTCGAATATGATTAAACAAACTGTGTTTGTACTATCGTAGGATAGTAACAATGTGAAAGTGAAGAAATGTCAGCCTAATAATAAGAATCTAGTTTGAGCCACCTGCGAATGTCACTCACAAGCGAGATATTATATTACGAGATAACGGTATTGTATACTTATAATATACCTGCTACCTGTTCGCTTAGTGATCGAAATTCGACTGTAATCATTATTGAAAATTTGAGGAAAATATTTGAATAGAATTTACCTATGCATATAAAAAAAACGTTGATACCATTAAAGCCCATCAATAGCTGCTAAGAAAAAAAAGGAAAATTGATTAAGAAACAGTGTAGAAAAATGTACTGTACAATTTTCAATACTGTGCCTATTACTGATTTTTAATTCCACGGAAATATGACAGCTGTAATTCTTTGACAATTCAGATATCATTAACCTTTTATGCTTAGGATTTTTTTTAAATAAAATAACAAAAAATATGGAACAGTATTAGACCAAGTAAACTATATGTATGTCATTGTAAATAGTCTTTCTTTTGTTAATTCAATGCACACTATCTATAATGTAATTTTTAATGGTTAAATGAAAAAAAAACAAAGTAAAACAAAAGAAAATATTTATTAATCATTATCACTTATATCATCATTGTCGTCATCATCATCCACTCGGATTATAAAAGAGTCACATACACTATCCATCAGATCAGTAAGAGGGCACATTTTATCCTTTTCTTTAATAATATGGTTTATGCATTCTTGCCAAAAATAATATTAAAAAATCGTGAACGATCGTTGTGGACCTGTCTTTTTGAAACTTTCCAATTCTTTTTGCCAATTGTAAAGATTTTACAAACATAGAGGTCTTCCTAAAAAAGGCTTGCAACCTACGTATTATTGGACAGGGATTCCTGTAATAGAAAAATAATTTCCTTCATAATTATTGTACCTTCGATTATATGATAATAAAAAAAAATATCACCATTTTAGAATTATCAATAACTTTTAAGTATTAGTTTTTCTAATTGAAACCTTAAATTCAAGAAAGGTTTATTTATTTATTCTGCTAAAATGTTTTCCGTTTTAGTGACAATGTTTCAAAGCTGACAACATTTCTGAAATGTCAGAATTCCGTCGAATTAAAAATCAGACTATTGAATATACTACTCTTTAATAAAAACCAGTGCCTTTAGTAAAAATTTCGTTGTATGTTGGTATCAAACCTGGAACCATCCAGATAGTATTGGGTCGATAAAAAGAGAAAGATGACAAGAAGAGAGAAAGATAAAAATGATCATTTGATAAGAGGAGAATTTAGTTTATTTAGAATTAAAACACACGCGCCTTTAAAGACACTCGTAGATCAAATGGGTTACGTCTTAAAACAACAATCTAGTCGAAGTGAGACGCATTTACGGAGGTAGCAATTGACCCCAGCGAACCATTTACAACTGCCCACTCCACGCTTATATTATTAGCGTTTGTACTATATTGGCTTTTGCCTTTGACTCTGCCCCCGTTCATTGGCACGTAACGTAATACAAAAAAAATCCGACGAATTGAGAACCTCCTCCTTTTTGGAAGTCGTTTAATAACCTTTATTTTTTCAATAAATCTTTACATAGTATAATATGAAATCGCTTCCGCTGTCTGTTTGCTTAGATCTTTTAAACTACTCAACGGTTTTTGATGTAGCTTTCAGCAATAGAATGAGTGATTCAAGAGGAAGGTTTATGTGTATAATATATGAAAATTGTAATACAGAAAAGCCGAGAAATTCAAAGATTTGTATTTAAATACTAACCGTTAATAGTTAAAACGTACCTAGGAACGAACCCGAGCGAAGCGAGGGCGAGTCGCTGTAGTATATAAGATGCAAAAGCATTTTATTGAATCTGATTGGTAATAGTTAAAGATATTAGTGTTTAAATAAACGAAACAATCTTTTCAGTTTTGTAATATTAGTAGGTAGGTATAGATTAGATGTGCTCGTGGCATCTTAGTTACATATATTAGTATTAGTAGCATTGATAAAAATGTATTTTTTATTGATAACTATGCAGTAAAGTGAGTCTGTTGTTGTGCTAAGAAATCTGTTGCAAAAGAAAACAGTATAACAATATAAAAAGTATCTAGATCTAGTTGTGTCTAGTTCTTTCATAAAATAGGTATTGACCCTGCTATATATTTTTACATACAAAATAACTCCAAATATGTAAAATAGGTTACACAATCTATGTAGAAACAATTATTTGAAAAATAGGGACGAGGATATGTGACAAATAGGAAGTACCATTTCCTAATAAGCCTGAAGTCGAATAGACGGCTTCATCTGACGTATCGATGACATTGATAGCGTCCAATTGACCCCGCGTGACACACATCCACTTGTAAAATAAGAATTTTCTCGATATTTATAACGTTTCTGTAACAAACTATAGTTAAAATAATCGCGCGTATCTACTGTATCCCACTGGTTCACTCCATGTTCATGGCACGATGAAATACTCAATATACGAGCAACATCAGCCTCGGTAGTCTATTAGTTAGTACATATATACAACTACAATGAGGTTGAAACTGAAATCCAGGATTTGTTGGACTAAAAATTGTTACTGGAATTTTCTGCCAAGAAATTCTTAATGACAGCCAAGAGTTGGAAAGTTCGTGCGTTGGAGAGCACATGACCGTTGTCCTGCGCCTGATCTTTATTCGTTCGAGTCAGATTGCTGTCCCTTCGGTAAATTGAAGTTAAAGCACACACTGCACGCTAATATCTTCATGAAGATCAATCTATCCCAGTGAAATAGGCCGCTGAAACGACAGTGCTTACATTAGACGCTATCTTTCTGACATGGGAGAGGGCCAATGCATCAACGCATATAGCGTCCCACAATAGGGCCCGCCTCTTTTCCTAAGGAATCAGCGACTTTTCTAGAAGGTTTAATAAGAGCAGCAATGTCAATGGTGGAAAGAACCCTTTTAATGGTATCGTTTAGGGAAACATGACGGAAAAGTCTACCTGAACTTCTTCTGCAAGAGAATCCATGGATTCTATAGCAGTCAACCTCTTTTCATACGGGCATCTGTACTCAGTACACTGCGGTATACCCAGCCGAAGACCTAGAGCGATACGA